CCACCCACCCATCACCACCACTGCCTTCCCACAAAAAAAAGGGTTGAATGACACAGTTAAGAACTTTAGTGAAGATACTGTATTCTGTTGACCTTTCTTATATTTTTATCTAACAAGTACTCAGTTTTCCTCTTTGTGTAGAAAACTCCTCTAGTTTAGTCTCATAAAACTACCCATGCTGTACAATGAATCTTTATTTTAAGTATATAGTAATTACCCAAGTTAATGGTAGTATTCATTTAATAGGTAGTAATTACAAAGTTGGAATTTGGCCAGAATGTTCAGATTCCATTCTTACTTTTAGATAGTGAAAACAAGTTCTTTTGTGATCATAGATAATCATAATGTTGAGATTAATTTTATTAAGAATAGGTCTAGATACACTGTTAGTGAGATGGTGCCTTCTTAGCTTTTCCTGCAGCACTGGTCCAGGCCTGATTCAACCAGCAAATAAATCACAGCACTGCTCCCCACATTGCTTGTGTTTCCCCTGAAGGTCTTCTCTGATTACTTGCTAGCCTGACTCTGCTTCAGTTATAAAACCTGACAAAAATCACAGTTTAGGATCTGCTCCAGGCTAGACATAAAAACATCTCTTTTCATCTACTATAACTACTGTGCTGAAACATCCTTCTTGACAACCTATTTCAGAGTATGGAAATTCTCTTTGAATAACGTCACTACGGTGACTATTTTTTCTCCCCAAGTCAGAGTTTTCAGTGTCTTCAGTTTCCTCAACTTCATTTGATACTCTTAGTTTTGCTCCTTTTTGCCTATCACTTGACTTTTATCAGTGCCAAGTATAGTCAATAAGAATCCATCAAAAACCAAGTAGATGCTTGCTCACCTATTCTGCATTTCCTCTTACTCCTCTGTACTCCAGAGCTTTATCTCAAGGTCTTGGGCAGAGTGCTCCACTGTAGAGAAAAACAGAAGAAATCCTGAAAGACAAGCAGGTGGTGTAGGAGAGGTGAGAAGGCAGAAAGTGATGGGGCAGGGACTGCAGCTGGACTGATTAAAGGGGAAAAAATGAAGGTGAAGAGAGGAGAGACGGGAAATTCCAGAGGAAAAAAAGGATAAATATTAAACATGCTAAAAGGAGAAGTGGCTAAATTAATACTTTGAAAAGAAAAATTAAAAATACTGTTCTTCAGAGAGGGTTATTTACTTGGTTTTGTGTTTGGAAATCACTTTGAAAGAAGAGATTGGGATGTATAGACTTTCAGTGGTATGCGATTGACCCTTGGGAAGGCTCAGACTGTTCTCCGGATCGGTCTGAAGAGCCACTTTAACCTTATTGACATCATTTGTTTGCTTAGCACTTTTTTCTTTCCTATAAAGGGAAGGTAAATCTCAGCTCAGCATTTTTTGATTTATTGCAAATTGTAAGTCAGCCACAGTTTTATTAATGAGACTTGAACATATTGCCTTAGTTGAATGTTGATGAGATGGAAAAAAATACATATGCATCAAGTGTGTAGCCTTCAGTATTCTATTAATTGCAGAGTAGAGAAAGATTCTGAGTCTTTTGGCGATTTCAGCAATGAGGAGAGAATTTAAAAGTAACAATAATCCACCTGAATTCACCTCAGAATGAAGTTAGGAAATGAAATTCAAAGTCCTACATCGATATTTAGACTATGTCTCTGTTTGGACTGGCAGTCTTCAGCAACTCCTGAGTTTACCCAAGACAATAAAAAAGGGCAGGAATAAATCAGTGGTCATTGTTGGCAAACGGTTGTCCAGTATGAGAGTAGTGAACAGGGTGGTGTGGAAGGCGAGATTATAATGAATGTACTGAGGAAAATAAGCAATTGAGAGAGATATCAACAGAACTTTGAGATCCTGGAGGTCAAGGAGTTTTAATGATTGGATTTGAGAGGTTTCCTTAGTGGATAAAACCTGAAATTCTCAATGTTCAAGTTTTTAAATCAGAATCATGGTGTGAAAGATGGCTGCTCTTGTTTCAAATTTCTTCTAATTTTTTTTTTTTTAAGTCTTCTGTAAATTGGACAGTAAAGTCAAGGAAATTAGCTAGTGGTGTAGAGCAGGAGTGGGCAACCTTTTTTCTGTAAAGGGCCATTTGGATATTTATAACATCATTCACAAGCCATACAAAATTATGAACTTAAAAATTAGCCTGCTATATTTGGTCAAACATCTAATTGAATTTATCGAATTTCAAGTCCCACCTGCAGTTGCCTTGGCAGGGCCGGACCAGATGATTTCGAGGGCCATATACTGCCTGTGGGCCTGATGTTCCCCATCCCTGGTGTAGAGAGATGCTTGGACCAAAACCTAAGGTTCATGGATCTTGGGCTTCAGTTTCTTTATGTATAAAATAAAGAGTACAGGATATCCTAGATCCTTCCACCTCTGAAATATCGATTCTGTAAACAAGAGAGTTTGAGATGATAGCAATGGAAGATTCATGCCTTGTTCTGCTCTCTCCCTTTATTTAGCGTCCCTGAATCCAACTAGAGACACAACCTTTTTCTTATTTCATTAGTTTTCAAACTGTTTCTCGGAGTACTTTGGTTCTAATGTACGTCAAGTATCACTGTGTGGGGAAGGAGGAGACTGAGTAGTCAGGGTTCATTCTGCTCCTTTCCTCCCTACTCTTTTATATACTGGGGTAGCTTATAATCTTTAAAATTTTTCTCTATTTCAGTATACATTTTTCCATATCATAAAAGCAATGAATATGAGAGAATATCCTTACTAAAGAGCTTCCGTAGACGTCAGGCACCTTTGTAAGCGTTACAGAAACAAGCTTCACATTATCAAGACCAAGAGTTAGCTCCTGGACCTGCATATGCTGAAGCTTTGCTCCTCAGTGTGGCTCATGAACCTGGCAGTTATGTGGAGACTTCTAAAAAGTGCAGAAGCTGGGGTCCCCCTCCAGTCCTGCTGAATCAGAATCTCCTTTTTAACAGGCGTCATTGGCACATTGAAGTCTTAAGAAGCCTTGAAGCAGTCCAGCTATTATCCAGCTTCCTGGGCTCTTTATCCCCCATCGAAGGACACATGTTGAATAAAGTGTGTTCTTAGGAGGGTTTAGTTTTATCTTGACCTTTCTGAGGAAGAGTAGAAGAAAAAATACTTGAAGCTTATACCTAACTCTTATTTCTGCCTGAGTCTTTCACAGCAGTGTACTTTTAAGTTTGTACCATTATGATCTTCTCTAACATTTGGTTTGTATAACACTGTTTTCTCAGACTTCAATCTAGCGCTTTCTCTCATTTCCCTCTTACACCATCACATTCATATTAAAGATCTGCTTCTGGTAAACAGAGCTGAGTTGCTAGATGTGTGTTAAGCACCCTTTGAATCACCACCTCCCATTCCTGTCCTTTTTGCCTTCTACTTCCCCCTCACTTTGAGTGGAATACTGGAACTTATTTGTACAGAACCAAAGGCTTATCTGAAATAATTTACCATTAAGTGGCAACTGTAAGGACTCTTGATACTCAACATATAAAATTTCTTAAGGATTCACTTTCTGGATTATCTAATTTTTTATTTTCTGTTTCTTTTTCATTTTCTCTTTATTTTCATTCTGTCTGTTGCCTTACTCAAAGAACAAATAGGAAAGAACATGAGAACCTAAAATTGCACATTTATTTGGCTCTTTGTTTTGGTGGGGAGAAATGGAAAGCATCTGCTAAAATATTTTCTAATGCAACATAATTTTATTTACTTTCAATTTTCAGATTTTATTTTAAGGGAATGTGAGTGTGCGTGTGAGGAAGAGAATAAATAGGGTTCATTTCATTTTCCTTCTAAAACTCCATGATTTCTGTAGAATATGAATTATTAATGCTTCCTCTAAAAATGAAATTTACTTTCAGAACATTCCATATTTTCCTAGTTCCCATTCTCTGACATGTGGCCCCTTTTGCACTGTTTCCCTACTCTGCCCTTCCAGTAGCCCTTAACCAGGAGGCAGCCTTCATCATTCATTGCTATTAACTTATTGACTAATCTGCTAAAATGTATACCAGAATATCTCCATATAACTAACTTTATTCTAATATGTAAATGAAAGACTGATAAATTATCAAAAGTATCTTGTTGACAATCTTGTGCTTTTGGAACTGAAGTCCCAGTTTGCAGATGCTTTCAATTCAGTATAGGGTGCTGGGCCCCCATCCCTCACCTCATCTCTACCTTCTCCTTTACCCCCACACTGTACCTAGCCTCAAGAAGAGATTCTCAATCACTTGCTGTTCATCAAGTAGAGATTTGCTTATCAAAAATATGTATCATTTTTCTGAGAAATTGTGTATCACTACTTTTGTAGCTGGTGATACTTAAGGTTATCAGGTTCTATATTAAATAGTTGATAAAATTTTAAAAATATATTTGCACTTAAATAATTTTTCATATTAACTAATTTTTGTATACTTTTAACTCCAGTAAATTAAAAGAGTGATATTTAGATTTTTAAAACATTTTATTTTACTGTATTACATCTCTTATTTTTTATCAACAAACTTGATATCTGCTCTTAACTCTGTAGTCTTCTGATAATCCTCTTGTTTTCTTTAATCATTTTGGTTTAGCAGTTAATTTTTTTTATTTGTTGAGTTAATAAAAATGAATTTTTAGGAATAACAGGTCTCTGAGAAGAAAACAGATTTGCATAGAAACTTCCTATACTATAGTGCTGTCTGCCTCATCGTGTGTGTTGGTACCCACCCTCCCTCACCCCGTGTGAATGTATGCTCTGTACAGCACTGTGAATGATTGCATTGTGCAATTTTGTTTTTAGGGTCCTCTTTCACTCTTTTCTGACTGTGCCGATAGCTCTCTTTACGATAAAGTAGCAGTTACAGATCATACTATACTTTCCTTAGTTAGAAACCTGTGTTTTAAGCTCTGTAATTGTCAAACTGGTATGATTGGTTTTAAATGCCTACATGGAAAGTATTTTGCTATCATTAAATTTTATTTTCTTTAAATTATACTGAAGTAATGAGTGTATTCTCCTGTTTTAGGTGCGCTTTGTGAAGAATATTACTTCCTGGAAAGAGATGAAACCAGGATTTTATCATGGACACATTTCTTACTTGGACTTTGCAAAGTAAGTTATACCTAAAATGACACGCCAAAGGATGCTTTGTACTTTAGCAACCTAAAAAGGAATAAATTCATTAAATTTTTATGATTTTGATTTTTTTTAAAAATGTACTGGCTTGCCTTTGCTACTTAGTTATGTAATATAAATATACCTTCTAGTGTTTTACTGCCCTCTAGTGTTCATAAATTGATAATCGTGATATTAATTTTAGAAATTGAAGGTAGTCACATTTAGGTAATATTCTTTTAAAGTTATTTATCATCATTACATTTATGTATCTTGTACAACCAAATGAAGCTATTTTAGGAGAGCCCCAAGTTTTAACTTGGAGGCCAGTCCGATTATGACTTACCATGTCATTGAGCACTGAGCAAAGAAAGAGGCCGTCACTCAGTTATTGGTGCCCCAATGCTTCTGCTGCTCAGCCAAGACACAGTAAAGTATACACATACCCTTGGACAACCTTTTTGCTTTAAAATTGTGATTATACAAAGGAGACTTTTTAAAATATAGTGATTCTCCTTTATTTTTCATTATAGTTCTTTGCCTGAAACTGGAGATGAATAACACTCATTTTCCATATTTTTTGAGAGGAATGGGATCAGGGTATTTGTATCATAATTCTCTCAAGAAAAGTTCATCAAACTACAGGTCTATGTACAGGATCCAAGCACTATGTGGCTCCCCCTAGAGTCTATGCTTCATTAAGTACTAATCAGAAAACTGGTCAAAAGGAATATTCGAAACATAGGCAGCTCGTGAATCCATTTAAATGTTTTTTTGTAGCACATAATATATCATTATAGTAAAACCCCAAATCCAAATATTTTTCCTGATAAGATTGTGCATCAACTTCAAAAACATTATATTTAAAAAACTATTTAAACTTAAACATGATCCCTCAGTCTTTTCACTAGCACTCATGATTTCAAAGTAATACATTTGTCAACTTTAAAGAGCAACCTGTGTAAAATTTGAAAATTAATATCCCACTCTCAATTTAATTTCTTAAATTTGAAATGGAAGAGTTGAATGAATTTTTGACTCAGATTCATAATAAATCTTAACTTTTTTGAAAAGTATGTAAATAAAAAGGAATCTCCAAAATAGTACATACACAAAACAATATATTCTTATTTCTAGTTGTTCTCACTGTACTCAAGATCTTCAGTAAAATGGTAGCTTTAAAGTTACATATGCATTTTTCTTTTTCTCTCCATTTTTATTGAATTTATTGGAGTGACACTGGTTAAAATTATACAGGTTTCAGGTGCACAATTCTAGAAGACATCTTCTATACACTGTATTGTGTGTTTAGCACCCCAAGTCAAGTCTCCATTCATCACCATTTATCCCCTCTGTACCTCCCTCTACCTCCTCCCAACTCTCCCCCCAGTAGATGTGCTTTTTTCTATAAATAATTCATACTGCAATATTGAAAACATTTTATCGGCAACTTTAAAATAAACTAATTATTTTTTCTTTGCAGAGGCATTGAACCAATTTCATAAACTTCATTCATATGCATATTTCCCCTCAGGGCTGCATTATCCTTCAATTGAATGTTTGTTACCCCTTCACCTAAGTGATTTATTTTCCACACAGAGTTTAGTTTCTAATACTTGAGGTTTTCATTATTAAAATAATATATTGAGTACTTTTGCTTTTGGCAAAAATCTTGTACTTAGAACAAAGCTCTAGTATATGCTGGAGTTCTTGCAGTTGAAAAAGTATAAAGCTTCTTGAAAAAATTAATCTCATTTATTAAATACAAACGTTTAAGGGTTTGAATATTTTCATAATGATTTTCATGTTATTAGAAGTGAAAAGTATTGTGAGAATTTTTAATAGACTTTACAGGATTTTAAACAAATAACTAAAAGAATCAACTAGAGGAAATATATCTTTATATATGTAGTCAAGAACTACCATAGATATAACTAATATCTTTTAAAGTAATTTTTAGTTTGATAGTCATACTCACCAGGGAGGGCTGAAGAAGAAAGATATGTCACCTTACCAATTTTTAAAATACTTCGTTCTTCAAAACATATTCTTGACTGGCATAATGCTTTGTGGAGTGCCTTAAAATACTTGCCTTTAGGAGAAAATGGTCAAATTTGGTGAAAGAAATATTTAATCACATAGCTTTTCAGTTGCCTTAGCGCGGAGTACTCAAAAGTGGAAACCCAGGAAACCCATGAAATAAGACAGAGAAATAGAGCGTGAGAAGTGCTTCCTCACTGAGACTGATTACTAAGAAGCACACATTTTATTTGCAGGCCTATTTCTGCTCAAGCCATGTTTTGGTTATATTTATGTGGCTTTATTCAGAACTCTAGAATAATAACAAAAATACATCTTTGTTTCATATTTGTATTCTTTTCCTGACTACTACTTTCTGTCCTAATCCTTTTTTTTTTAAAAATTTATTGATTTTGAGAGAGAGAGAGAAACATCCATTTGTTGTTCCACTTATTTATACATTCATTGGTGGCTCCATGTATGTGCCCTGATCGGGGATTAAACCTACAACCTTGGGTATCGGGGATGACCCTGTAACCAACTGAGCTACGCAGCCAGGACTCCTAATCCTGTTTTTCTTTTTTTTCTTTTTAATCATCACCTGAGGGGACATTTTTGCTGATTTTAGAGAGAGAGGGAGAAGGGAAACACTGATCAATTGCCTCTTGTACACTCCCCGAGTGGGGATCAAGCCTGCACCCTGGGTACGTGCCTCACTGGGAGCTGAGCCCACAGTCCTTCGGTGTGTGGGACGATGCTCGGCCAGTTGAACCACCCCAGCCAGGCCTAATCCTGTCCCTGATTTTTTTAAAGCACATTTTCTAGTTTTTTTCCATTTTTCCCTTTAGTGTTCAGTGACTGTTTTCTTTTTAATTAGTAGACAACACAATTTAAAAATAATATAAATGTGATACATTAATGTCATAAATGTATAAATTGTTTCAGTTGAAAAATTGTATAGGTTGGACATTTTCCAAATGCCATGGGGTACAGTTCTTATCCTCTTAAATAAGTTGTAGCTCTTATCCTCAAAGAGTTCACTGAAACCCCATTTTTTTCTGTAATTACCAGTTCATTATGTTTCTTTATAAGGGACTGAAAATATTACAGGTTACCCTCCCTTTTAAATTTATATTATTCATTGATCAGCAGCATCTGTTACCCCTACTTTGATTTTCTTCAAATGATACAAGAGAAAAACATTATAACATCTCTTCAAAAACCTTTTCAGTAACATTTTCTAAAATATAATGAATAATGTTCAGCTAAAAGAAAACTGTTTCAGTGCTGGTTTTGATCAGACTCTGTTGAGATTTTTTTTATGATCTAGTGACCAAGGGGTCACAGATCAGCATCTGTTTTAAAAAGACCCATGGAAATTATTTTTGATACAGCAGTCCGTTGTATTCAAGCATACATCAGGTGTGTATCTTTGTGGCTGTCCCCAGGAATGAGTATGGGTTTTCATCACTGTCATTTTGGTTTCTCCATATCACCCCTGCTGTCTTTTTCAGAACAATTGCTGTGAATCAGTAAAAAACCTTATATGTCAGGATAAGAAGCAGATAACTAAATGCTTCAGTAAGTCTGAAATATCCTAGAGAGTAATCAAGTGACAATGTTTTAGGCCTCAATAGAGTTTGTTAGTACTGTGTAGATTCATGTGAGATTGCCTCTTTTACTTCTCTGCTGAACCAGTTGAAGTTTGTACCGTTTTCTACAACTTTCAACAAATATGTCACAGAATAATTTTAATCATTACAGGCACTATGTGAGAGTTGCGTTTTTATTGACTTTGTACTTACCAGCTCTTTGTACAGCACTGATCCCCTAGGCTGTTCAGGAGCAATCTCTGAAGTCATATCTGCAGCTAAATCTACGCAGTTCCTAACCAACTCTGTGGCCTCAGCCACATCGCCTCAAATCTTCAGTTTCCCCATTTGTAAAATGAGGATAATTAATGCAACTACTTCATGGGTGGTTGTGAAGATTAAATACCATAATGTACGTGAAGCACTTAGCTCTGTGTCTGACACAGAACAGTTCTTTTGTTCTTTTAAAATTCTGTCTTCTTTCAGTTACCCTGTTGCCTTCCTGGTGTTTTCGTCTCCTCCCTGTTTGAACCTGCTGGCCCTTCTTGTTTGAAACTCTTAATCAGGCATTACTCAAGACTCCGTCTTTACTTCCATCACTCTCTCCTGGGAAGTTTGCCCAATTTTTATTTATGAAGACATCCTAGCAAAAATCTTTAGAGTCATCTTGAACAACCCTTTTCTCCACCACATGGATCTAATCAGTTACCAAGTCCTTTCGGTCTGGCTGCTTTCACATGCATAACGCTTTTGACACCCAGTTTGATGCCTGTATCTACCAGTAGTTAGTTAGGTACTGGGTAGTATTCCGTTGTATGGATGCACCACAGTTTCTACCATTCAGCGGTTTCTGGATACTTGGGTTATTTCCAGTTTTTGGTGCTTATTAGTGAAGCTGCCAAAACATTTGCATATGGGTTGTGTGTGGACATATATGCCCTTATCTCTCTTTGGTAAACTTAGAAGTGGGATTGCTGGAGTGTCTGGTAACTCTGTAAGACGCTGCCAAACTGTTTTCCCACGTGGCTGTATTGCTGTGCAGTGTCAGCAACGGTATATAAGAGTTCCAGTTGCTGTTGATCCTTGATCCTTGCCAGCATATGGTATTGTTAGACCTTTTTTTAAAAATTGAGGCCATTCTAATAGATGCGTAGTAGATAGATGCCCATTTTAAGAGATAAATAATTACTTTAAGATATTACTTATTCACAGCATTATCGTCAGTGGGACCAACATATACCAACAAGTAATTCACTGTTTTTATGGGATTTAGAATTTTTTTATTTACTGATTTGATTGAGAGAGAAACATCGATTTGTTGTTCCACTTATTTATGCACTCCATTGGTTGATTCTTGTATGTGCCCTGACCAGGGATCGAACCCTCAACCTTGGCATATGAATACAACACTCTGGCCAACTGAGCTACCCAGCCAGAGCTGTCGTTCACTGTTTTTGAAACAAGACAATAGGAACTTGCCACTAGAAGGACTTGGAAGTTTCTTTGAACCTTTTGGTCTCAGAGAGTCCAGAACGAATTTGTATAAGATGTCCATGTCCTCAGTCAAACTGCTGTTTAACTAGAGATGTTAAATCTAGTATAAAGCAGAAATGTCAAAGCCTAATGCTTCCCAAAGGCTGTTCAGCCTTCTTTCAGCTTTATTATCTTCCATTTAGGTTTGTCTGGCCAATTGACAACGTTCCCTTCAGATGTTCTGAGGATGTACTTGTTCTTTTAACCATTCTTGATCTAAGCTATGTAAGACTGTAGTGTAAAGACGGGAGTCTGGTGTGTGTTCCTTGCTTTGCCATACCACATATGCTGACATGTAAGAGTGAGGTTCCTAAAATGTCTTTTTACCAACCTGCTGCTCAGATTGTACTTTTCCCCTTTTGATCCTTATATAACATCACATGTTCCTACCAAATATGTTGTACTTTTCCCAGGAAGATCATGTTCTAACAGATCAATAATAATTTATTTTCCTGGAGTAAAGATGGGTTTTCTGCTCTTTCACCTGAGCCCTCCTGAGGAGCAGCTCAGATGACTGGCCAGGGTTAAAGGTGGAGTCTGTGACCACAGAACATATTTGTCCCCCTGTACAAAACTACCTGGTTGGCAAAAGAATTAAACTTACAAACCTAAAAGGGTGCTTGCTTTTAACCAGCTGAGCTGAATGGCCCAGATGCTATTTTTATCATGCCTATGTTAGGTTATAATCTTTTGCTTCCGTGTCTATATAACCATACCCTAACTTATAAATAATAATTCATATCCATTTTCTGAATAAGTTCACACAGTATCTTATTAAAATCATACATATAAATGTCACCCAAAGGCATGCCCCAGAAAATCATTTCCTCAGTAGCAAGAAGAATTTTATAAAGTGCCATATCCCCTTTTTACTGCTACTTAGAATTGCTGTTCATTCCACATTTCAGTACCTAAGGGGAAAGGAGGAAAGAGGAAGCTTGGTAGGAGATGGTCTCCTGGGAGAAGGTAATTCCCAAGGAAATGTCTCAGAGCTGGTCCATAGCTAATAATGGAGAGGTTAAAGGCGGTTCCCAGGGAACCACAGTTTTAAGAATGGTGTCATTGCTCCATTATCCCGTGTTTTTCCTTTCTTGTAGATTCCTTTTATAAGACTCTCAGCTCTCTCAGTTAAGGTAGCAACTAGGTATTCCTGATGCCTCCCCCTACCCCACTTTCCCACAGAAAAGCATTGTAAGTGGCTAATTCACAAGTCTATTCAACCTAATTCTACTAATATTCAACACCTGTGTGTCCAGCACCATGCTGAACACTAATGCTAAAGCCATGAGCAAGAGGGAAACAGTCCCTAACCTCATGGAACTTATGCTCTAATACCCAGTGTGACAATGCCATGTATTTGCAGCAGTACTATTTCCTCTTTTAAAAATTGTGAAAATTTTTTTACTGCATTATTGGTTTTGTAGGTTTATGAGTTGTTCAGTGAAAAAAAATGCATACCAGATTTTGATCAACCAACTCACAACTGTTATATTATAATAACATTTTGCAAAAGGATTCTCTGTAGTTTTCAATATTTCCATATGTACAAAGAATTTACTGACTTAGAACTATTTAATGATGAGAGGACTAAAATTCAAGAGAGCTGACCCCTTTTTACCTACAAAGCAGTGCAGCCTATTTGTAAGTTAGGATGTTCCTATTCAGTTAATTTTCAGTAATTCACTGAAATAATCAAATTATCTGGGCTCCTTGCCTTTTGTCGTCTCTGGTGTCTTTTCACTACTCATTTGCTTAAGAATTTAGTATAAAACATCTATAGAATGCCAGCTGTGTGTAAGACATTGTTTGTAATAGGCAGAAGTAAGGGAAAAAATATGAAATTGGTTAGTTTAGCCATATGCTTTTTAGTGCCTTTGGGAAAATATTTTAGTAAGAAGGGAAGTTTAAGTTATAAGCTATTATCTGAATTGAGGGTTTCTGAAGACAGATTTGTGAGCGTATCAAGAGTGGTTAAAAGAAGAAAAATAATCTCAATGTCATTCCCATTTTAAGAGAGATTGCTGATATTTCTAATCTTTCAAAATAGTACTAATCAGTAGGCAAGTATTTATGTATACTAGGCTCTGTGAAATATATAAAAGAAGTGTAAAGTACTTTGTATACCTTCAAGTGGCTTATAATGATGTTGGGGAGAAAAGAGACTTGTAAGAGAAACACTTAGAACAAGCTAAGAGTGAAATTTCCTAATTGCAGGTGACCCTGGGTACAGGTGTGAAATGAAAGCAGATAGTACTGTATGCTGAAGTCATCAGGAATGGTTCTAGACTTCACAAGATTTCCTTATTGACCCTCTACAGTTTCTTCCAAAAAAGCAGCCAGTGGCCTCCCCCTCCTCCCGCTTTATTGAGATATAATTGACATATAACATTGCTTAAGTTTAAGGTATACAATATGATGATTTGATGGATGTATATATTGTAAAATGTTTGCCACAGTAAGGTTAGTTAACACATCCTTCACCTCACATAGTTACCTTTTTGTTGTTGTGAGAGCATTTAAAATTGACTCTCATAGCAACTTTCAAGTATTGTAATAGTGGGAATTGTAACCCACCCCACCATTCTTTTGACATTGTTTCTGTAAATATCGACTATGACTAATATGTAGCTCGTAGATAAACAGCATGTTTGTATAAGAATTCTAGGCACTAACTCCAAAAGATACAGACTCTGACCTTCAATCATCCCAGCTCTGGGAGATTTGCTGACCTTCAACCATAAAACCAGGATGACACACACCAGACCATTGCTTTACCAATTTCAAGATCCTTACTGGAATGGACTGTGCTGGTCTGCACATAGAGAACTTTTCAACCCCTTCCCCTTGATCTCTTTCTTTTGCTTTCCCTGTTCCTCTTTATAAAAACCTGTGTCTGTACTGAGATATTGAGATTCGCTTTGGGATGAGAGTCTCCTGTCTTCTCAAGTGTCTGGCACTTGAATAAACCACTTTCCTTCTCATCAGCACCTGTCTCATGAGTTTAGCTTTCCTTGCGGCAGGCAGCCAAACCTGGGTTTCATTTACAGTATATTATACAGTATTGTTAACTATAGGCATTATGTTGTACATTAGGTCCAATATCATGGCACTTCTCTGCAAACTCAGGACTCCCTCCTAATTCCTATAGTGGCCTACAAGACCCACATGATCTGCTCTTCCTCTACTCCACTTCCATCTCTGTATTTTCATGTTCTGTTAATATCCCCTTATGATTCTACAGCAACCAGATTGATCTCCTTCCTGTTCCTCAAAATTTCCTGGCACTTAGCTGCTTCAGGGCCTTCATACTTGGAAGTCTCATCTTCCTGGAACACTTTCCTCTAGATATTTCCATGGCTCCCTTCTCATCACATAACACCAGTGACTCCTTCCTGAAAAAGCCTATTTTGAATTGTCCTCTCCCCACCTCTCCTGGCAGTCCCTATTCCCTTTCACTTCATTATTTTTCTCCTTAGTACTTTTTGCCATTTGACATATTTATTTGTTTATAGCCTGTCTCCCTCAGATAGAATGTTAGCTTCAGAGGATAACGAATTTTTTTTCACTGCTACACCCCTAGTATTAGAATACAGCATGGCATATATTAGGTACACAGAAAAGCATTTTTTGAGTGAATTAATGTAATAGAAAAATAAAGATGGCATTCTAGTTAAGAAAGGCAATGAGCAAAGGCATGTAAGAAGAAATAGGAATCAGTATAATAAATATTAACAGGAGGAGGGTAGAAGAGGCAGGCCTAACTATAACAGATCAATGGTCTCTTATTTGAAAATAAAGTTAGATCATTAAGGTGGTTGCTAAGACATTAAGGCAAACAGATATTAACAGCCAGGCAAGTAAGTTTGGGTTTGTCAACGTAAACCATAGAGTTGTTTCAGGTTTCTAAAAGGAGTGATCTAACAAATAGTGCTTTAGGAATATCAGTTGAGAATTGGCATGGAAGGTAGGTTGAAAGAGAAAGAGACTGTATGTAAGAAAACCACTAGGCCATTGCACTAGTCTAAGCAAGAGACCTAGGGAGAAGGCAGTGGTGAAAGGGAAGGGAATCATCAACAAAGAAAGGTCAAATCTGTGAGAGAGCCTACAAAAGAAAAAATCAAAAGGACTTGCTGACTAAATGCAGAAGAAAGTAAAGATAACATTAAGGTTTCAAGACTGGGACAATTGAGGATAATAAAATAAGAAGCTAGCTGGACAATTCTAGGGTCTGCACAGGTTGCTAATGGAATAGCCTCATGTTCCTTAAACTCATTCTATGAGGAAATAATGCTGAAAACATGTCTTTCACTTTTATCTTGTCTTTAAAATCAGCAGTAGTAGAAAGCAGACTCATGGTCACACTTGTGTGAACTTATGCTGTATCCATTGATAACATTTATTATTTGCTGAGCTAGAAATGAGAGATCATTACTACATAAAATTAAAATGTCTTATGTAATCTTGTTGGTAAAATTCTAAATTATTTTTTATTTAATTTTCCCTTCTCTCCTTTATCTTCAGCCATGATTTTTAAATTCTTATTTACTTTTTTGTAACAAATATAAAGTATTTTCTAATCCCCACATATTTTCTTTTATTTAAATTAACTCGTGTTCTTCTTTTCATATAAAATCAATACCTTAAACTTACAGTTTCAGTACACTCCTAAATACAGAGAGAAGTGTCAATTTTACCTTTAAAATTTTTGTTCTGTTTCAGATTTGGTGTGAAAAAGAAGCCAATTTACATTAATGTCATAAGGGACCCTATTGAGAGGCTAGTTTCTTACTATTACTTTCTGAGATTTGGAGATGATTATAGACCAGGGTTAAGAAGACGAAAACAAGGAGACAAAAAGGTAATATTTTAGTTTTAAGATTTTTGTTAAGATAATCGTTTATGAAATGCAATGAACAGTGTGCTTTTAAAATTTATTATTAATTATAAATGTACTATTGCTTAAGGTAGAAATTTTGAAAAGAGCCCAAAAGTATAAAAAAGCAAAAGTAGAACTACTTATAGTTGATATTTTGGAGTGTACATTATTTTTTGTCATTAAAAAAATACATATTTTACTTCTGTTGCAAGGTTGAAGAGTTGTTTTATTATAGTTATTATATTAATAATATTCTATGAGACCATCATAATTATTAATTAATATGATGTATTTGTGTACATACCTTGTTTCTCTTAGTCTTGATGATCATCAGTTTAGCAGTTTAGGGACACTGTTTTGCTAAAGTAGCTTCTCTCTCTTTTTTTTTTTTTTAACAAGGAGAGAATAGTGGTTCAACAGAGTTCTCACTTAGCAGTTTCAGCAGTGGGCTGTGTCCTGTTTATGTGCCTCCTCCAGAGGAACACCAGACTTGTTTTCCTAAAAACCCAGACTGATTTGTCAACTCCTCTAGGGGAACACCTTTACCGGAACCCCACCGCTCACAGGGCTGCCCAAGGCATAGGAGACACAGTCTGATGTAATCTGAGACCTGCCTCATTTCCTTTGAGGCACCCAGTGCTTTAGCCACGTGAAATGTCACTGCCCTCCAGACTTACCACTTCTTATTTTCTGTGCATGTGGTGTTCCCTATATTTGGGATGTCTTTTCGTCACTCTGGAAATTTGTCTACCTTTAAGGTCCAGCTCAAAGGTTACCTTTGAGTGCCCACCCAGGCAGTTAGTCATGTCCCTTTCAAGGCTCCCAGAGCATTCCATTCAGGTCTCTTTCTCAAGCATTTATTTTGTGATACTTGAATTATTTGTTTTCATATATATCTTCTCCAGGAGGTTGTAAACTTCCTAAAGCAGGGGCTCTATTTCATTCATCTTTGTTTCCCCGGTATTTAGCATAGGGCCTTGTTCATCCGTATGTGCTTAACAAATGGCTGAATGGGTGAATTCTGCACCTTTTAGTTCTAAAGTGTTACCAAAGTAGGGATGATACTTGATGTATTAGAACACTTAACATCTAACAGTTTTTTTCTAAGTTAGATGTGCCCTCAGTGTCACATGAGGAGGCAATATTTTTTGTTTACTTTTTTATGTTTCTAGAAATTGCTGTTCCTTTCCTTAGTCTCAAAACTTTAGGCAGAAGGTACTAATCCAAACGCAGATAACTTACCAAACATTATTTTAGTGTCTACTGATGTCTTAGCATTATTTACTCTCCTAAAAAATATGTGTATTTATGTTATTATAGAGATTCTGCAAAATTTTATAAACTCTATTAATATAACTCTTTTGCGACCCAGTACTTTAGAATGTATTGATAGTTATTTCTAAATTCATTTCAATGCTTACTACTTTTTTAAAGCCCCATCATTTACATTAGCTCTTACTCAGTAAGTGTATCCATCTCCTTCCATCCACCAAAGCAATTTTAATGTTGGTAAGAAAAAGGTTTGCGGTCAGGTAGGTTCCTATATCCACCATTTGTCATTGTCAGCCCTGGATACCATGGTTTTGTGGTTTGGAGAATCAGATAATAATAATACTTAATAATAACATAATAATAACAATAGCTCACATTTATTGAGTGTTTATTGTGTATCAAGCACTGTTTTAAGTTTTATGTATTTTTTCAGGCAGCGTATACAACAATTCTATGGGGTAGTTGCTGTTATTGTCTCCATTTTACAGATAAGGAAACTGAGGCACAAAAAGGTTAAGTACCTCACTCAGTGTTAGCTGAAATTTAAACCCAAGTGCTCTAACTCCAGACCTCAGTTTTAACCCCTTTATGCCCTTTAAAAAGGAGGGAGGAATGCAACATGCTACTCAACATTTCTATGTGAGAGATATTCCAAAGTAGCATATTCAGTACTCAGAAGCAGATATTTAACATCATTTCTCTTTTATATTTGGAGGTGTTAGGTAGATATGCTCTTTTAACCATTCTTCGCCGTGATGTTGACAAGGCTTGTGTGGGTTTTTTTAATGTCGTTATAAAATACATATTGATACACCTATTTATTTAGATGTAATAGTAGTAATATCAGCAAAATACTGTTACATTACCTTAATTCTCATGAAGACAGGGCCATCTATAAACGCTTTATTAAAGTGGAAAATTCCTTTGTTTTATGATTGACAAAATGGACCTTTTCATTCTTAAATTGAGACATACACAATTTTATTAATTTGGCTTATTTCTTATGACACAAATGTTGGTAACATTCTGGGACCCAGTGAGTTCAATGATGATGTTTTATTGCAAATAATTCCATAATATCTTTAACTTGCAAGAGTTTTCATTAATCAACTCACGTCTGTAATGTTGATAAGACTGCATAGCATATAACATTTTTGAAAATGGCAGGGTTAACATTTTGAAAATGGAAGATAAATAGGGATTAAAAGGTGGCTATAAAGATGTAGGAAATAACTTGAAATGGTTTCATTTTCATGAAATTGTATATTGTATGCACCTCAAGTGATAGTTTGAAGCAGATTAGACAATATTCAGTTCAGCACTCATAGCAGCCATTATGTTTTAAACTGCAGTACCAAGCTGCTCTCTGTTTACACTTCACACAAATACGTTTTAGGCATTTACACCTATGAAAGCTTTCAGTTGATCTTGTTAGGAACACAATTTATTTTATTGGGGAGATTTTAAATACTCTGTTTTTCCTATTTTATAACTAGAATTCTACTTAATTTAATCTCTGTCCAGTACCTGGAAAATAGGGATATTAAATAATCCAAATGTCAGCATTGAAAAACTATATAGAGAAATCAATGGTCCTCAAACATTTTAGTCTCAGAACTCCTTTACTCTTAATAAAATTATGGAGGATCACCAAAGAACTTTTGTTTTATGTAGGTTATATCTACTGATATTTACCAATATCAGTTAATTTACCAATAAATGAGAACTTTAAAAAATATTAGTTAACTTAAAAATAACAGTACAGTAGGAAACCCATCATATGATAACATAAATATTTTAATGCAAATAACCATTTTCAAAAAATGTGGCATCTTACATTTTTGCAAATTTAAAAAATATCTAGCTTAATGTAGAGAGTTGGTTTCTCATATCTGCTGCTGAACCAGTCAGTTTAACCAGTTTTTTTTATTGAAATGGGGACAAAAAAGGGGCATCTGTAATACTTTCAACAATAAAGATAAATTTTAAAAGAAAAACCAGCTTTATACAGATATTTAATTGGAAAAGGGAGGATTTTAGCCTTTTAAGAAAATCATAGATCTTCCTCTTTAATACTACACTAAAACTTGACAACTAGTAGTTTCTTAAAGTTGTTGAAATGTAGAATCTGAAGCCATAGCAGTGAACCATGATGCTCTGCTACATTAACATTGATATATTTTGGACTCTGGATGGATTTGTAACTGAGCTTAATTTTGTAATATCATGCATTGGTCATTTGGATCATATTAGTTAACTGAGTTATGTGGACCTTCCAAATGTTGACACATTTTATTATACAATATTGAAAATTTACATTGATTAATATTACCACTGATCTCATCAGAAAGGTCTTTAAATATTGGGAAACAGTCAAGCTTATGGTGGCTTTTAGTTCTTGTAAGAACTAAAAATGTCTTCAAACATTTCCAAATGTCACCTGATGGCAAAAACAGCTGCAACTGATAACTGCTGGGTTACTAACACTGTCAGGTGTTTCTTTCAAGTGACAGACAGGCACACTTTGTTCATTCTGAGGAAGTCTACCAAATACTCAGTTTGCATAGCCCTAGTTTGTCTCCATGCCCTTCTCTCAGCATAGGCCTTCCTAATGGCTTCCAAATAATATTAACTGTACCAACAAATCTCATCACTCACATCCTCTAAATATGTAAATATATATTTTGTGTGATTTTTACCTTTGTACTGCCCTGTAGATTATTAAGCACTTTTTATGAATTATTATTAACAGAACATAAGGGGGTGTATAGTTATGGGAAGAGTAAATAGTTATGTGCTCTAAATAACAACAATCTAAGGAAGAATCAGTACTCATTGGTCCCAGAGATCCCAGTTCCTACGCCAATTTGCTTTTTGGTTTTCTTTCAATTAACTAGGCTTATTAACAGCTATAGGAATTATAATGAATTTAAACTATACTACCTAAAAATATAGAGTAATTTATAAAAGCTAGTAAATAAGGTTGAGAAGAAACCATACTTGGCACTACCTGATCTTACTATTGCTTACAGAATACTGCCTCCGTAGTCCTTAGCAATTCACCATTCCCTGACAATGGTTTGCTTATTGAACATGAATTTTACTATTCTGTCTCACAAAGGCATTTAAGAACTTGCTGTTTGCTTAGAAAGTATTTTAGATGTAAAAAACACCACAGGAAAGCAATGCAATATCTTTTGCAGTTGACATATTTACAAGTTCGGTAACTTTTCTTGGTAGACCAGTTTTCTCTATCTCAGTAAAAGGTGTGTGACTCAGAGTCAGCCCTGAACTGCCTTCTTCCCAGGTTTCTCATTGAACCATAGGTGGTTTCTTTCTCTAGAAGAGAGAAAACAGAAGAGTCATTTATAATGGAGTTGAAGAAAGAGATGAAATTGGATGTTATTTTTTAGTCATGTATAAGTAGGTGGAGGTATCCACTAAAAATTGTACATCAAAAAATAGGTCTGAACCAAATCATAGATTTGAGAGTCACCAACATTAGGTGGGAGCTGAAACAAGGGACTGAATGGCGTGGCACTTGGGGACACATAGAGTATGAAAAGAGGTCCAAGTGAAATAGGACGAAGCAGAAGGGGGTGCAGATATGTAGCTTTGGGCAATGCCAGCATTTAGAGGAGGCAGATGAAGAACAGCATGCCAAGGAGGCTGGTGTTGGAGGATCAGAAGACAGGCCTGGCAAGTTCTTGAAATGGATAGGAAAATAATTTCAGTTGCAGAGAGGTTAGTGAATTGAGGATTGAAATCTGTCCCTTCCACTTGTCAATGGGCCAAGTCCATTAGAGATATCAGAGAAAGGCGTTCAGGAGGAATCCAAAGGGTTGAGAAGCAACTGAGAGACAAGTTAAGACTGACCCTGAGGAAAGACTACTCTTGAAATAGAAGTTTGGCTTTGAAAGGAATAAAAAAAAATCAGGAAATGTTTAAGATGATAGGCACTTGGGCATATTAATATTATCTGAAGACAGCAAGGGGTGATCCTACAAGGAACTGGAGAGAAATCGGTGGAGCAGGGTCTCAGAAGGGGGTGAGAATGGTGTTCAAAGATAGGAGAAGGAAATGTCTCTTTAAAGCTGAGGGCAGTAGGGGGCTGCAGATGCAGATAAACTTTCATCTAAGCAGGAAATTGAGGGAGCTCATGCTTAGCTTCAGTTTTCTATATAAAGTATGAAGCAAAATTATTTGCAGAAGAGGGTTTAATGTAAATATAATTGCCATTACCACCAGGCATCAAATTTTGTTTGATTTTTTTAACCTTCAATTTTAGGAGTTAAATATCTAAATTAATAATCTAAATGGTCTCAGGAATATTTTGATATTTCATGCTTTTAAAAACATTTGTGTCTGGTTCACAAAGAATTGCTCTTTCTAAAAACCATAAATGGTCTTTAAGTGAGAAAGCTAATCCTAACTTTTTGTTTCTCTGGTGATTTTGTGGGCGAAAAGAGTCTGAAGTTTTTTATTTCACTTGCTTTTGTGTTTTATTTTAAGGGCTTGAAGTTTTATAAGAGAAAAATGCTTATTTATAAAAAATCCTATTTCTGAAATGTGACCAAAATGTAAGGAGTAGGCTAATAGAAGTTAGCAAATAAGCAGGAAATGTTTGGTGACCAGGCGTCCAAGTGACAGTCCTCTGTGACATAAATAGAGAATCCCAGGTGCTGATGTCACTGTTGGAGTCAGACCATCAGTTTATCTTAATTTAAGATCTCAGCAGATTGAGTCATCAAGTTGTATGTAGTANCCCATCAGTTCATCTTAATTTAAGATCTCAGCAGATTGAGTCGTCAAGTTGTATGTAGTAAAAATGATATCGAGTTGTCTGCATTTGGTTTCTCTCACTAGGAAATACTTGTTTTACTTTATTCAAGTATTTATATAGAAATGGGAGAATTTCTTTTATATACTAAGATCCGACACACTCATGTATGTTCAGCAATTTTTTATTATTCATAGTTGTTTTGTTTTTTCCTCCACATCTTCCGTCCCATCTTTGGGTCGTTTCTTTTAGCTGATGGGAGCAAAACACCTCCCCCAAATAAGAAGAAGGAACCATAAAGGAGGTGAACACCCAAACTACTTTTCTACTTTTGTATTGTCTAATAAAACATTTGGTATGTGAATTAGTTAGAGTAGCTGCTCAGCTTCTAAAACAAAGGAACCCGGGTCTAGAAACTCAGGATCCTGGACTCTGGGCAAGGACTCTTTCTGCTCAGAACTGCTAGGTGGGATTGGTAGATGCCTCACTTCAGCAGCCACAGCCCCCAGGTTTGTTCTCTGGTATCTCAATATCACATCATGTCAGACGGGTAACACCTACTGGTAAAATGCCTGTGACAGACGGGAAGTGCTCAAGAAAGTGAAACAGTGATTTTAGATACGGAGGCTGTGAGTCACTTTCCCTTTTAATTACTTCAGTCAGGTGCATTTGGAGAGGAAGGCATGCAAGTCATGAGGATCTGGGGTCATTCTGCTTTGTACAGTGAGTTAGCTTATTTTAATGAGAAAAGGAGAAAAGACTTCCATGTAGTCCGACTTTATATTCTTTTCAAATGATTATTTCACAAGTGATTGTAATCAAATTATTATAAAGAAATGATAGTATCTTTAGCCTTGTTTTTTTGTGTGTGTTTTTTAGCCTTGTTTTTATTTAATTACCCTTTAGTAAGAGATTAGAAAGTATAAATGCACGAGTTTAACATAAAATCCAGTACTTATTTTCAAGGACACATTTTTACCTGAGGGGTTTTCATTTATATAGTAAAATAACTCATATAAACATTGGCATAAAACAAAAACGTGAGAAAAATCCGTGTTTAATTTTCCTCGGCATCGCAGGTACGTGTTCGTAACCTGCCTATCCCTTTAGTTCAGTATCTCAGCGAATGGTAGCCACTGCCACCCATTTACGTAATAATGTGCCACATTAAGATATTTTGCAGGTGAGACTTGGGATTATGGTTCACGTGTGCTGCTCTGTCTTCTTTCCAGACCTTTGATGAGTGTGTAGCGGAGGGCGGCTCGGACTGTGCTCCCGAGAAGCTCTGGCTTCAGATCCCCTTCTTCTGCGGCCATAGCTCGGAATGCTGGTAGGGAGAGAAAGTTCGCTTAAATTTTAATCTTCCTCGTTATCTTTGTAATCGGTATTTCACAAACGTGAATGTGCTGGTCAGGGGTTAGGTATGAGGAAATGAGTGCTTTAAAAAGATTCTTCATATATAAATATCCTAGCGATGTTTCCTCAGATGCTGGTTTTTGAATTTTTTGTTTGTTTTTTAGTTTTACATGTTTGGCTGTGTTCCAGCAGAGCTCTTAATTAGAGGTCAGGGATCGTTTCTAAACATTTTCCCCTAAGCTTACTGTGTTAGCCGTTCATGTTAGATCAAGTAGGACTGGGTACATTTTTCACCTGGTTTTACTGTTAAACTGATTTTGAACTGGAGAGACAGTTATGGTTGTGGTTTAGTCTGCTAATGAACATGAGGAGAAAATAAAGATTTTATCTTTTATAAAGAGTTTATTTCCTCTGAATGTGCTGAGTTTTCAGTTTTTAAAAATAATGGTATGTCTTCATTTGATCTAATCAATAATTTTCATAGGAAAAGTTGGAAAAAACAGGGACACATGGAAAGTTAGTATCTTTCTTAAAACTGTGAGATGTAAGGAAGGCCTTCTGTTCTTCATTATTTGAGATTATTTGATTACTATGAACTGTAAAGTCCTACACAATAGATTATATCAAAGTATAATAATAGCATAAGAAGAATTGGAAGCATAGGAAGAATGTTTTAGTTTTTAATCATTTTCTTAGAACAGGGATTGGCAAATTGCAACCTGAAGACCAAATTTGGCCCATCACCTGTATTTATGAAGTTTTATTGGAACATGGCCACATTCATTTGTTTACTTATTGTCTGTGGCTGTTTTCATGCTGCAAGAGCAGAATTAAGTAATCGTGACCAAGACAACCTGGCCTGCAGAACCTACGATATTTTCTCTCAGACCTTCTATAGAAAGTTTGCCAACCTCCTCCTTAGAACAATAAAGAGTGTTGCTCTATTGGCATTATTGAGGAGATTTTAACTGAACTTCTTAATTATGTTTTACAGATTCATAGAACTGGAAGGGACCTTAGAAATAAACTAATTTATTCTCCTCACCCCTCACCACAGCTTTTTAGTGGCTGAGAAAACAGAGCTAGAAAGGTAAAGTCACCAGTTCACTATCACGCTGCTTAAAGACAGAGCTGAAATTAGGGTTAGGGAATGTCAGTGCTGAAAAGAACTGTAAAGTATAGTTTATTTACAGCCAAGTCTATTAACAGCCATTAGCTGACAATGAAAAAAATGAAAGGTTCCTGGCAGTGCCATTTCTTATCTTCTGTTGCTCAGAAATGACAGAAAAACCTAAGCTCACAAATTAAATTAAGATAAGCACTAAACAAATTGCTTAGACCTTACTAGATAGCTTTTGAAATGAGCGAAGCTAGTTTAGTAAAAAAAAATTAAATGCACTCACACTAAATCAGATAAGAGAAATATATGTAATATGTATACTTTTTTTTTTTAAAACTGCCCTTAAACTAGACTTTGTTAATATTAAGTTAACTGAAAAGTCTGAGTTTGCACTACATAGTCGAGCAGAAACTGGGGATAAAGGCAAAGGAAATTAAAAACAGGGGCGCCTCCTAGAGGATGTTAATAAAAGTGTTTAGGCTTTGGATGGACATGTATTTATCTGTTTTTTTCCATAATATATAGTGATGAGAAGACATCAAATATACTTAGCAAATTGAACAACCAGGTTCTTAATTTCTTTTCTTGGTTTCAGGAATGTGGGAAGCAGGTGGGCTATGGATCAAGCCAAGTATAACCTAGTTAATGAATACTTTCTGGTGGGAGTTACTGAAGAGCTTGAAGACTTCATCATGCTATTGGAGGCAGCTCTGCCCCGGTTCTTCAGGGGTGCTACAGAACTCTACCGCACAGGTATATACACGATGGGTTTCTTTGTAAGCTCTCCTTTACTCTCTTTGTTTGCGAATGGAGAAATACGTGTGATTTGGAGTTTCTTGAGTAAAGTGCAAGAAATAGCTCCAGAAAGGCAGGAAAATTGCCTGCCTCTCCTCACCATTTTCAATACAAAACAATTCCTGGCACACAGATGGTGTTCAGTAAATATTTTTTGAATGAATGAACGTGTATTAGGTGATAATTAGTAGGTATTATAGGAATAGTGGAAACATACAAACTATAGAACTAGCCTCAGAAATGTGTAATTTTTTTTTTTTTTTAAATATATCTTTATTGATTTCAGAGAGAGGAAAGGAGAGGGGGAGAGAGAGAGAGAAACATCAATAATGAGAGAGTCATTGATCGAGCCCGCAACTGGGGCTTGTGTCCTGACCGGGAATCGAACCCCAATCGCCTGGATTCCAGGTCGACGCTCAACTGCTGAGCCACGCCCGGCCGGGCAGAAATATGTAATATTTTATAATTCTGGATACCAAACATTATGACTGTGTTCCGCCCTGAGACCTGCGTAATGCCGTTTAGAGCAGAGGTGGACAGTAGGACTCAGTCACTTTGGCGATGACCACCGTATGTGTCTGGTCTAATCCTCCTAAGAGTGTAGCCTCAGCAGTATTTCACATCTGCAACTGATGTGCTGGTCCTGTCTGATTTGGGTGGTTTTGTTTGTTTTTGCCATTCTCTGGTAAGATATAGTCATAGGAGCTTTTTTTTTTATAGCGTATACATATGTCCTCGTTTCTAACATAGTTATATAGAGTATAGGTAATGAAAAATTAGTATTAAGCTTGAAAATAGGTATTTTATCATATTTTCCGAAATGAACTAGTCAGAGCTCCTGAGAATACAGCATGATTGTGACAGCCTACACGTCAGGACTGGCAGCCCTTGCTTGTCCTGTTTGACAGCGTATGACGGGACTGATCACAGCTTCAGTATGATTAGGGCACTGGTTTTCTTGCCTGAGTGATAACAATATGAAACAGTTGTCACCCGTCCTTCAATGTTAACTTAAACCATCTCTTCAAACGAAGAGGCATTGATCTTTTGCGTGCTCTTAGAATTTTTTACCTTTTCTATTTTTCCCTTGTAAGTAGGAAAGAAATCTCATCTTAGGAAAACCACGGAGAAGAAGCTCCCCACTAAGCAAACCATCGCAAAGCTGCAGCAGTCTGACGTTTGGAAGATGGAGAACGAGTTCTATGAATTCGCCCTGGAGCAGTTCCAGTTCATCAGGGCCCACGCCGTGCGAGAGAAGGACGGGGACCTGTACGTCCTCGCGCAGAACTTTTTCTACGAAAAGATTTACCCCAAATCGAACTGAGGACGAGGCCTGACTCTTCGATTTTTGAACTGAAACTCTGACCCTGTCTTCACCTTCGTTCTCAGCTCCATGGTTCGTATTGAGCCAGGTTAGGAAACGGACATCGACACCAAGGAAGTAGGTGCTGGCTGGTGCGTCAGTAGTCTGAGAAGTTTAAGTTTCAACCTTTTGTTTTGTTTTTGTGTGTGTTTTTTTCCCGGTTAAATTTTGGTGGGAGTTATAACCTCCTGCCTGGGAAAAACCTACATATCCCCTAAAATAAACACATAGCAGTTCTAATCAAAAGGCTAAATACGATCTCAGAAAAAGTTCTGATACTCTGTTTTTTGATAAAGCAATTTTTTCAACTAACCATTAAATTTTCAACTTAATTCATGAATAAAGATGAATCCATTTGCTTCTCTGCCTTCACTTGGAGGGTTGGGCTGCGCAGCTCTACTGAGCAGTGTTACTACTGTTGGGCAGTGTGTGCTTTGTTTTGTGAATCGCCTCTCATGAAATTTATTGGAATGTTTGATCATGTTTGCTAGGAAGTGTCTCTACTGTAGTTGGAATTGCCCTTGTTTATGTAGGTCATGTTAATTTCCTTTAAATATAATTACCATTCATGTTAAAAACCAATTTAAAGTAGTACTAATACTGTAAAAAGTCAAGGCAGTATTTCTCATTCCTGTCTCCCCAGTATCTAAGATTGGGGAGATGCTTCAAAGAACATTGACATTTTAGTTAAGGCTTCCACACATTAATATAAAAAAAAAGTCAGTTTTGTATTTGTTTCTCCATGGGTTATTTGTAAAGCTGTAAACAGGTACCGGTGACTCTATATTATAACTCCATTAGTGAGCTGTGGTGGGTAGGATTTTCCTACTTCTGTACTTTTACTTGTAGACTATTTTTACTACGGTGCTTTATAATGTGTTTTAAAGCATTGCATTTACAAAAAAAAAAAAAAAAAGGAAAATGCTGTAAATATTGCATATTTTATGTATTTGGACCAAAAGGTATGAGTAATTAGACAAAAGTGGTTTTGCACCAATTTTATTATATCAAGTAAAACCATCAGACCTACTGTTCTTGTATTTCTCATTTAACTTTAAGATATCACTGAAATTAACTTTAATAACCTTTCGATTTTTATACAGAGTACGTTGTTCATAATTGGGGGCAGTATTTATAGTGGAAAGAGTACTGGACAACAAGGAATCAGAAAGCTTGATTTCTGGTCCTGGCTCTGCCACTAGTCAGCTGTGTGATTTTGGGTAAGTCACTTAACCTATTTTTGCCTCAATTTCCTCATTTCGAAATGAGGGTAATAGTACCTGCTCTCCCTACCTCGCAGGGGTGTTGTGAGGATTAAACCAGACGGGATGTGAAGGCACTTTGGAAATTGTAAAGCGCTATATAAATGTAAGGTATTATGGAAACATCTTTAACCTATAGTTTCATACCATTTGTTTTTTTAAAAAGAAAGAGAAAAGTCCACTTACAAGCTGGTTGAAAAAAATTTAATATTGATATAAATTTGTGTTTGATAAATATCTTCTCAATGTTTTATCTTCCCTGTTTCAACTATTGAAATGTGACACACCTGTGAATTCTTAAAGATTCAGGAGCAGCTGCTTGAGTTCAGGAGGTTCCCTGTTTGAAAAAGACTTCATTAGTTGACTCGGGGCAGGGGGCATTTGTTCTTCAGATTTGGAAGAGTTTTCTCTTTTTATTTCACATTGCCGTTCAGAAATGGTACTATTTTATACCTCTGTTTTTTAAGGTATATTTTGCAGAGTTTAATTTCTCTGGGCATTCTTTACCTTCTTCCCCTTCTTAGAGGGACAGAGGTAAAGAATTTTACAGACATTTTTCTAAAAGAATAATCTTTAATATGTATAGTTTAAGTAAATATTCCCAAACAAGGCCTCACCAAACCATGTAAGCATTTTAGGCAGGTTGCTTTCAAGGTTATTAATTGTATGGGAGGCAAGGAGGGAGCACTACTTATAAAAAAACATTTACTAACAAATTTAAAGAAAAGGTCAGGGAAGTTGACAGAATCATTTTCATACCCTTTCCCCCAGTGATAGGAAAATATTAAGAGAACATTGACAGGCATACTTTTCATATTCAGCTTTCTTTTTTCTGTGTATTAACTTTTACGGATATTTGTTGAAAATATATACAAATTCTCTCCTTGCCCATAAGTAAAGCACCACCTCAGGGTGGGGCGTTTGACATTTATCTGCTAAGGAGCCGCAGTATGTAGGCCATTCTTGGAGCACAGGCTGCAATCTCCCTGAGGTGCATTAATTAACTCCTAGGAAACTGGAGTAGCACAGAGTGCACCAGGTCAGGCAGTCAGGGAACTAACTGTAAAGGTGCAGAGAGTAAATGTTTTAGGCCTTGCGGGCCACGTGGCCTCTGGCACAGCTCCTCAACGATGCCATTTTAACACATACGCACCCATAGACGACACACGTGAATGAGATGGCTATTTTCCAGTAAAGCGTCATTACAAAAGCAGGTGACATGCCAGATGTGGACCAGGGGTTGTAGCTTACCAACCCCCGAAATAGAGAGATCGTTATTTATGGAGAAATCATTTTGAATCTGTACTCTCGTGGCCTAAAAGAGTTTATATACTTCCAAAAGCTCCTAACTTATATCCAAAGAATAGCTTTCTGATCCAGATTTTCTCTCCCACAGATTCATAAACTTTCATAACTTAGATTGCTTCCAGGTGGGCATGTTTTCTTTCCCGGTTTAACAGAATAGGGGCTTATTCTGTCATCTTTTAGGGTGGGTTAGGAGTATCCTTCCTGGAGGCTGAGAAAGGGTTAGATTTAATTCCATCTGGTCCAATGCGGCCCTAGGAGTCTGCACGTGCAGAGTCCTTGTAATACCTAACTTTTTAATCAAATATATAGAACCACTGAGACAATAATGTATTTTTTTAAAATGGCAAATGTGGTTTTCGTTTTTTAGCCTTTGCGCTTTTTCAGTATTTTGATCATAGGAAATTTTTTTTTTTTAATAATACAAAAGCAAATCAACCACTTTGAATTTCAAAAGATGATGTTATGTGTGTATGTGTGTGTATATATATCTATATATGTTTATTTCCTAAAAGAGGAAAAAGTACATTTTTGTTCAACTTGTATCAACTCCTGTTTTCTAATTGCTGTGAAATGGCAACTGTTGATAAATTATTGTGACTATTTTAAAATGTATTGGGGAGGATACATTTGGATTTTACCCAGCTTTAATCTGTAAAGTATCACTTAAATATATCCGATAGCAACACTTAAGATATTGCATGGGGATTACTTTTCTATCATCCACACTCATTTGTGCAACTATGAACATATTGGGTACTTCTGAATTCCTGATGATTGGGTTTAAAATTTTTGAAAATCAGAGAACTTGAATTTACTGACTTTTAAACTTTAAATTTTATTTTCTATTCTTAAAATTCAGTTTTAATGCCTACAATTTGAAATCTACTGTTGTTCTTTCTCTATGTATGTCCTATTGAAAATTCCTAAAGTTGTTGGTGCCATCAGTGATTTACAAACAGTATTTTGATATTGCAGATGATTTGCTCATTGTATTTGCATAGTTAGAAAGAAAATAGTTTGTAGACAATGATTCTCTCTTTTTTCTAATAAAATGAAATAAAAGTTCTAAAAGCACTAGAGAATTTAACTAAAGGCTGGTTCCCAAATGCATAGCTGGTATTTTAATTTATATTTAATTTCTACATAGAGAACATCTGTGTAAACCATCGTATTTGGGGTTTTCCCAGCGATCATCGTCAAATACACCTATGGTCCTCGAATCCTTAATTATGAGAAGCACTCAGTACTGTAACCTTTTGGGAAGTTTGTCTTTAAGAGGCCCAGGTGGTGCTTCCAGTTTGCGACTTGAAAACTCGCCTCTTCATAAATTAGTGCTATTTAGTTTGAGAGGAAGCAGGGCAATTGCTGTTAAATTTTGCATCCATTTACCCTATGCAAAGCTGCTGTCTGCTGCCAGCTAAACTGCTGCTCAGCAGCCTTTGGAGGGGAAAAGCAGCCCTGCGTCAGCTGTGCTGCCAATTCAGTGCCTCTGGAGTGGAGCTTGCTTTCTGATTTCCTGGAGTGGGAATTTGAGAGATTGAAATGGGTGATCAGTTAGTCAGATTGATCCTATAATTTAAGTTCACGCAGCTTTGTGACCTTTGCAGTACTATTTATTAAAGGCCCCCCGATGGTGATGATCTCTTTAAAACACAATACTGGTAAGCCTATGATTTAGACACAGGTGCTGTCTGTCTGATTTCACAGGCAGCTTCTGTAGCTTTCCATTGAGAGGTGGGTGAGCATCTCTAAAGCAGTGTTGAATGTAACTGGGAGAAACATGGATTGTATATTTTGAATTTTAGTTTATAAATACACAAACAGCTAAACAGTGCCTTTTCCCCCTCGCAGTCCGTGTTGGAAGATGCTCACTCCTTGCTCTCTCTCCTTCCCCTCCCCCATTCAGTTGATTCATTTATGCAACACTGTTTCCAACTTGAAACCATTTTGTCACATCTGCTGGAGAGATAATGGTTCCTTTTCCTTAACATTCTGCCAGCTTTCTGTTGTTGAAGTGTTTCAGTTGATTACCTGATGCAAAAGCTATAAAATAAACACTCAGTGGGAAGGGGAAAGTGTTTTGGTGTCCTGTTTAATATTTTTCTTGGTAGTTTTGACGCTGGTGGATCTTTTCCAAGTGGACTCAGTGTCATCAACCTCACTCTCGGATATCGCTGCCACCAGAAAGGTATCTGGCTTATTTTTTTTTTTTGACAATCTTTTATCCAGATGGGCCTGCCTGTGCTGCTTTTTGCTTTGTATTTCATCCCTGGTCTTGAAGCGTCAGAAAATTTACAGGATATACACTTAATGAGAAGAAAAAGGAAGTAAGGAAAGGGCTAACAACTTAGGATAAAAGGGCAATTTGAAAGAAAACAGCCTGATTACCATTTATTGCATAGTTTTAGGCATGTCCATAACGTTTCTTTGAGAATACACATTTCTACTGATCATGTCTTTTCACCCTTCAAGGAGAAACTCTCAATTACATAGATTTCCGATTCCCAGCTACTGGCTCATTTTTGAGCAAGTAATTGATTCTTTTTATATTATATGATATTGGGTTGAATAAAATACCAGTTCAGTGATACATTTTCTAAACCGAGAATTTGCTCTGTAGCCACAGAGGCAGAACAGAGAGCTCGGATTTGAGATCAACTAGACCTGCGTTTAGCAAAGTGACTTGAGTAAATAGAGAGGACGTACTGTTGTGAATGTTGGAGTGACGGGCGCCGAGTGCTGGCGCGGGGAGACTTAACGACGGGCAGCTGCTGTGCGCTGTGTTGGAATAGTGTTGGGGAGCGGACCTACCCTTCTGACCCTGCAGAATACCTGTGCCATTTTACACAGATGTTTTTACAAATATTTTTGAATGCCTCTAGATTCTACTTTTTACGGACAACCTGTCATCGTAATGCCTCCTTATGTGTCTGTAGTGTAGATATTCTTGGTTTTGCTACCTGCTGCCTGATTGTTCTAAAGGAGGCGGGGCTTGCTGTAATTTAGCAGCGTGGCCTGCCAGGCGGTACACCTGTAAAACTCAGGAAACCTGGAGTAGAATGTCTTGCGTTCTTTTAGCAGAAAGGAAACTGCATACTCGGTAAGAAAAGAGGACATTGGAAGGTGGCGGGTTCAATTCCCAGCCGGGGCTCGAACGGGAGGCAACTGATGTTTCTCTCTTCCTCTCTCTCAAATCAATAAAAACATATCCTCAGGTGAGGATTTAAAAAAAAGGAAAAAAAAGAAGAGAGAGGGCATTTGCCTTAGAGTTCTAAGTTAGTCGATCCTGTTAGAATTCAGGGCGGTTAGGGCATCTGAAAAATAAACTTGGCTTTCGGTGATCGCCGCCTGAAACCTGCACATTTTCACTGGACTCTCATCACCACCACCTGTTTTTTCAAGCAGCAGTTTCTGAATTTTCTTTCAGTAATAACAATGGAAAAATGCAAATTTCGGGTCCCCGTCCACTTGTTTTTCCCTGGAGGAATCCTTCCCACCCGTCACCTTCCCCGTCTTCCTTACACCGCGCCTCACCTTTGTCACCGCGGAGCACAGGTATGGCCCCTTGCAACGAGACAAAGAATAGAGCATCAGCAATCAAACTGACTTCAAAATACACATTTCCCCCTTTCTACTTCAGGGATCACCAGTTGAGCAAACAAGGAGACTTTTTATGAAGTCAGTGTACTCTTTTCGGCTGGTTACGTTTCGTTAGCATGGGACCAACCGCGAGAAGGTGCTGGGGCTCTTTCGGGTGCAGTGGACTTCCAGATGAGACACTCAGCACTTGGCACTTGTGAGGAAGGGAACCCACAGGAAAAAGGTAGGAGGGTTTTTTTGGTTTTGTTTTTGGCTTTCACTGTTTCATTCTATGAGAAAATAAAGTCTCTCGAATAGATTAGTTTTTGGTTTGAAAACTGACTGGGAATTCACGAGAAGGGAATCCCTGAGAGCTGGCTAGCCTCTCCACCCTTTGGCCATGGGCTCACTCAAAACCGGATGACCCGCGTGGCGAGATCGTCCCACCCTCTTTTTGGAAAAAGCTGGTACCCTTGCTTTTTACCTTGAGAACTGAGCTCTCAGACATCTTGATCTCTCCCGTTCCCGTGGGATTTAGTGGTGCCTCCTTCCCCCTACGGTCCTGGACCATGTACTGTTGCTCTGGAGACCCCCACAGCTGGACAGCTGAAAGTCACTTTTGAAAGATTCAATTGCAAGGTATAGCGAGGTCTGTGAGTGGCCCTAAGAGAGGCAGTTTGCATGGTAGTTAGAGCATGGACTCTGGAGTGCCACCGCTCGCTGGCTGTCCGAGCTTGAGCAAATTAACCTTCCTAAGGCTGACTTGCCTCATCTGTAAAACGGGAATAGCACTAATATCAACCGGTAGTTTGAGGATTGAGATACTATATACGTGAACTTACTTAGTATTTATGTAGTGCCTGTTACTTAAGCACTAAGGAAGTGCTAACATTACCCTCTGATAAATATGAAAGAAAAAGATGAGGAACCATCTGTTTGGGCAGACTGTGTTGAAGTGTCTGTCCACCGGATAATCCACTAACACATGCCAGGCATGAGGGATGTGAAAGACGAACAGGCATGGCCTCCCTTGGTTGAGAAGAGAGGGGTAAAGAAGAAATACAGAGCATTCTGCAGAAATCAACCTTACTGATAAACCACCTCTTTTGTTGTTTTTGTTGTTAAGGAGTCATAACCACCAGCACCCCTGGACCTTTTAATTTAGTGCACTTAGTCTCTTACTTTTAACATTAAAATAGCAGAAGCACCAACCTAGCCCCATGATCACGTCCTAGACACCTTCGACCCATTCGTTTGCTCAAATGTAACCCTCTCTATCCATCTGTATCATAGGCTTAACCTCATGACCAATGAATCTGTCCTCGCACTTCTCCAGACACTTGCTTGGGTGCAGAGGTTAAAATGATAAGGTTTTCTATGAGAGGCATTGTTGACATTCAGATGCAATTTTTAACTCATATTTCAGTTCCAAAGTCATTTAAACAATAAGAAATGCAAATAAAGCAATATGCGTAGTCCCAACTTTACAAATGAGTTGTGTTCTCAGAATTCATTGTACACTAATTGTTTGAAATGCATGTAGAACCAATATGATGCATGTGGGCCCAACCCACAAATGATAGTTTAAGATAAACATCCATGGATGATCCCTTCATTCGAGCAGAGGAATCTAAGGCTGTGTCCTTCCTGGGGGTTATGTTTCCATGGAGGTTTTTTGGTCTGAATCCTAAGCTAAGTGGTTTGTATTTTAATTCATGGTGACGGGGTTGTAAGCAGAAGATGTGGTGGTCACGGTGAGATAATTGCAGTGGTGGGGAGAGAACTCTCTGGCTGAACGCTGGGAACCTGAAAACCTCTGCGGAGGCCGCTGCAGTTCAGGGGCAGCTGGGATGAGGTTGGGGAGAAACAGGTGGATCTCAGGGCCCGAAACTGCAACATTTAGTCAGTCAGTCTCGTGGAGAAAACGCTGTGGAAGAAGCTCTGACACTTTCACACCTAATTTGTGATTTTTTAAAAAAAAGATTGTGCCTGCTAAAGTACCAAATCAAAGCTTTAACTGGCATCTCATGGAGTTACAATCTGGCAGAGGGTAGATCTACAGTCCCCAAGTCACCTGGCTTCTAAACCTTGGTTTTCTTTCACAAATGTGAACCAATTTGACCTAAATCAGGGTATTTCACGTAGCATCCCTACAGATTTATTAGTGTTTATGGCAATAACATTTAATTTGTATCCATTTTAGTGATTCTTGGTGTGCCCCCTTAATAACACTGTCAGGTCGAGGAGTAAAAGGCAATGTAGAAAGTTTCCAGTCTTTCGTGTTAGAAACGGATGCGTTAAGCATCTCTCAACACTGACTGGAGCACACCTTTTCCAGGTAACAGCAACTGCCTCTGGAGTGGGCAGCACCTCTCTGAAAATCACTGACTGGAAATAAGTGATGTTCTGTTCACCCCAGAGTAACCAGAGAGGTGTTTTTGTGGTTGGGTTTTTTTTCCCCTTTAAAAGTAATTTAAATTCTCCAAAGAATCAGTAATTAGGTCTCCT